CGTCCCACGTGCGCGCTGTCCACCCAACATCCACCCCTCGCGCACCGATCGTCTCCTTCGCAAAGTAAACGTCCGAGACCATAGCCTCCACACATCGTGCGCGTCGCTTCCTCGCACACACCTTGTGCCATTCGACCACGCTGCTCAAGCCTTCAAGCCTCAAACTCTCGAGCTTCTTGCTCGACCTCATATGCCATTGTGCATGTCGGCACCCTCGTATACGTGCTCGTGCACGTCTCCTAGGCCATGCAAGCCTCGTTTGCGCTCTTTGCTTGGCCTTGTCCATTAGCCTCGGCCCTCGGCCTTTCTCATCATCGGGGGTCAAAACCCACTTCCGTATCACACATGCACACGCACTGACACACTCGTCTTTGGGGCAGATCTTTAGCCCATCCCTAGGCCCCACCTGAAATTTTATATTTTAATACATATATTTTTAGTAAATATGTATAAATTGCGTAATTTTACTAGAATAATTTATTAATGAACTTGTTATTAAGTATTTTTTTTCTTCTTTCATATTAACTTTTTCTTATTGCAATGTCTTATATCTTTAAATAAGTATATCATGACTTTGCATGCATTAGAATAACTGTAGGATTAAAAAATATTATCAATAAAAAACCGTGTCAACAATGAAATCAACTAAGAGATGAAATTATAACAATTTTTTTTATCCAACATATATCGCTCTCCTACCCACGACTAGTATTATTATTTACAATAGACATAAATTGTATGACATGTGATTGATTAATCATGAAATCTTGGCATATATATATAAAGTTTGCAATTGTTAGATGAATAATTTTGCATTGATAATAAATCAACTGAAGTCATCATAATGGATAATAATACTGAAATATATAAATTGTAGGGTGTTTTCATATTAATTTCTTTGTGAATTATTAAAATATATATATAATGGTAACTTTGCATGTGTTATTTTGTGCCATTTTTTTTTTTTTTTTTTATCTTTTTTCAATTACCAAAAAATTTGGTCCCACCTTATTTTATTCACTGGATCCGCCCCTGCTCGTCTCCAATTTAAAGACAAAATGAGATATTCAAATTAGAAATTCTATGAAACTTCAATTCCAAATCTCGAACGACTAAAGTTTTGACGAGGAGTTGAGATTCAAACACAACATCTGTCTCCAAAAGAAGTAGTTCCAAGAGAGAAGACAAATGGGTAATCAAAACAAGAATTCTTTTGTGAGATGACTTAATCGTTAGAGGAGTCGACACATCTTACTCGAGAACAAGAATGAATAAGTATTCTATCAAATGTAATACTTTGTCATACTTCTATTTATGATGTTTTATTTAAATATTATATTTTTCAATAAAAGTATAAATTTTATAAGAGAAAGGTTTATCGGCTTAATAGTGAGGCCCAGCCTAACACAGAACACACGACGACCAAAATCAGACTCCTTTATATGGTTGACTTGACTATTAAGCAAAGTGAACATATTGGGCCAGTACTTCACAATTATGCCAAAAGCCCAATCCAACTGCTTATGGTCAACCCATATTCTAGGTGGATTCTGAATTAATGAGCCTGCTATGAGGCCTAGTAGCGGCATATATTTGAAAGGCCCACTTTATTAATGTGTAAGATTTCGGTAATTTTATATGTTTATGCATTTTTTTGTTATTTTTATAAAAAAATAAAGCGCCCATAAACCATTTATAAAGTAGTCATAAATTAAATAATACAATTTAGGAAGCTATTAAAAAATAAACCACAAATAAATCATTCATAAAAAATAAAAAATATTTTGTTAATTTGTTATTCACTTAAATTTATTAGTTTATGAGGTGTTGTGATTAATTTCTCTTCAATTATCAATTGTATGCATTATACCTATCCAAAAAACAACACATTATCCTATTTATAATAGGCCAAATTGACATATAAAACCACGATAATGAACCACAAACACGAACACAATAGCACGAATTATCATTTTTCGTCATATATTTTAACACACAGGTTCCCCTCATATACAGTGACACAAATTAATATGTCAAAAAAAAAATAATATACTTACGTATGATTCAAAAAGTACGTAAAATAAAAATTTAGGTCGACCAACTGATTAGTCAGAGCAAAATTACGATTATCGTGGCTGGCTAAGAAAATACAGTAAATTAAAAAAAAATAATAAAACAAAATATTTGCTCATAAAAAAATCTAAAACATTTGTTCAAAAAATTGCATACTGAGCTCTGAAAAAAGCACACACCCCTTTCATATGTCGCCATCTTCAAACTTCATCTCTGCCTAAAAAAACAAAAAGGGCAATAGCAAAAGGGCCCGCAAAATAGCTTCACGAAGAACCCAGAAAATGTCACTTCCGACCACCGAAGCCGAGCCCATGACCCGGATGGCCGGCGCCACCGAGCACAGCTGGTGCCGGGCCGTTCCCGGCGGCACCGGCATCACCGCCGTCGCCCTCCTCCTCTCCAAACCCCCCAACTCCCAGTTTCTCCAAAACGCCCTCCGCAAGTTCCAGATTTCCCACCCAATCCTCAACTCCAAGCTCCAGTTCGATCCGCCCTCCAGCTCCTTCTCCTACCGCGTGCCGCCGTCGCCCCACCTCGAAATCCTTCACTTCGATCCCCAATCGACGGCGGAGATCCTCCGCTCCGGCTTCACCGACGAGGAGCGCGGCTCAATCCCCCCGCTGCACCTCATTCTCGAGCACGAGCTCAACACCAATCCTTGGGGAAACCAGAATCCCGACCCTAAATCCGACGCCGATGTTTTCTTCGCCAGCCTGTACGATTTTGGGGAGGAGGGAAAGTGGGTTTTGGCTCTCAGGCTCCACACGTCGGTGTGCGACCGGACTTCAGCAGCAGCACTGCTAGAGGACCTGCTGGGGACGATGGTGGGAGGGGCAGAATTGGAAATGGAGAAATTGCCGGAGCTTTGTTTGGCGATTGAGGATTGTATCCCGAGCGGGCTGGGGAACAAGCCTTTTTGGGCCCGAGGGGTGGATATGTTGGGCTACTCGTTGAACTCATTCCGGCTGGCGAATTTGGATTTTAAGGATACCGAGTCGCCGAGGATGTCCCGTGTCGTTAGGCTGCAGATGGATGTAGGAGAAACGGGCCGTATTCTCTCTGTGAGTTAATTTATATAACTGTTGATTTTTTTTATTTATTTTTTGTTTGGAAAATGTTGAAGTGAAAACTTGTGCAGATGATGATTTTTCTTGTGCCATTGTGGTTCTTGATTGGTGGTTGACTAAGAAATGGTAGAAGTGATCATCATGGGAACTTTGAAGTTTCCAGTCTTTGTTCTA